ATGATTGCACTACTGCACTCCAACCTGGGCAACAGAGCAAGACCTTCTCTGTTAAAAAGAAAAAAAAAAAAAAAAAGAAGGTGCTGTTTAGCATGGCGCCTGGCATATAGGAAACATTTAATTGAGCTAGTTTTCAAAAGTCTGTGCTTTCAGGAAAAAAAAAAAAAAAAATCTCATAAAAAAGTGGCCTAAGGATGTGAATAGGCAATTCTCAAAAGAAGATATACAAATGGCCAACAAACTTATGAAAAAATACTCAACATCGCTAATTATCAGGGAAATGCAAATCAAAACACAATGCGATACCACCTCACTCCTGCAACAATGGCCGTAATCAAAAAATCAAAAAATAATAGATGTCGGTATGGATGCAGGAACACTTTTACACTGCTGGTGCGGACATAAACTAATACAACCACTATGGAAAACAGTGTGGAGATTCCTTAAAGAACTAAAAATAGATCTACCATTTGATCCAGAAATCCCACTACTAGGCATCTACCCAGAGGAAAAGAAGTCATTATACGAGAAAAATACTTGCTCACGCATGTTTATAGCAGCACAGTTCACAATTTCAAAAATGTAGAACCAGCCCAAATGCCCATCAATCAATGTGTAGGTAAAGAAACTGTGGTATATGTATATGAAGGAATACTACTCAGCCATAAAAAGGAATGAATTAATGGAATTAGCAGCAACCTGGATGGGATTGGAGATTATTATTCTAAGTAAAGTAACTCAGGAATGAAAAAATAAACCTTGTATGTTCTCACTGATAAGTGGTAGCTAAGCTGTGAGGATACAAAGGCATAAGAATGATACAGTGGACTTTGGGGACTCTAGGGGAAAGGGTGGGAAGGGGGTGAGGGATAAAAGACTACAAGTTGGGTTCAGCGTATACTGCCCAGGTGATGGGTGTGTGAAAATCTCGCAAATCACTGCTGAAGAACTTATTCATGTAATACCACCTGTTCACCAAAAACCTATGGAACTAATTTTTTTGTTTTTAAGGCTGTGCTTTCTCCTGCACAGGTGATCCCATAATAATCACTAGCTTCACTGACCCTTCTATAACATCATCTGCTTTCTCAAAAACACTTGGGCCTCCATGCAGGATGGAGGACAACCCAGTCTCCATTTGCATGTGAGCACATTGAGGTTCGGAGTTGGGGACAGAGTCAGAGGTCGTTCCTGACCCTTAGTCTCTTCTTTATGCAAACTCCTTTCTGCTGCTGTTAAAACAGTAGGAGGGGCCAGGGACAGTGGCTCACGCCTACAATCCCAGCACTTTGGCAGGCCGAGGCAGGTAGATCACCTGAGTTCAGGAGTTCGAGACCAACCTGGCCAACATGGTGAAAGCCCATCTCTACTAAAAATACAAAAATTATCTGGGCATGGTGGCGGGCGCCTGTAATCCCAGCCACTTGGGAGGCTGAGGCAGGAGAACCACTTGAACCCAGGAGGCAGAGATTGCAATGAGCCGAGATTGTACCATTGCACTCTGGCCTGGGCAACAAGAGCGAAACTCCATCTCAAAAACAAACAAAAACAGTAGGAGGCAGCTTTGGGGGCTAGGTCTCTCTCAAATGCAGTAACATCCAAGTGGCACCATTACTTAAATTTTAGGAGCTGAGAGGATCTCTGTATCAATGGACGGGCCTCCAGGGGTCCTTGATCCTCATGAAGACATAGGTGACACTTTGCCTGTGTGTGCATATGTTCCATAAGAGCAGGTCCACATGGCCCTTAGTAAGCGTAGGCATCTCAGCTTATTAGGAGAAAACTACCTCCTTTGTCCTTCAGATTCTGTCTTCCCAGAACATTGCTAATTCCCTCTTCCTATTCCACCTTTGGTTTGGATTCATAGAGAATTAAACTGGAATCTATTATTTATTGGAGTAAAAAGAGCTACCGGGTGGATTAATCACATTGATAAGAGCAGTTGGTTGGTTGGAGGTAGTTTCTAGCGTCATTAACCTTGACCGCTCCTGGAATAATGGGTGGATGGAGATGCATTTGTTTCGTCCACTCTCTGGAAATGTGCGTCGTAACAGTGCGTGGGGCACCGAGCTGTGTCTGGAGACAGTGTGTATGAGCATTTACCGAAACCACAGGGAAGGTTGCACTGGGAAAGTTATGACCTCATCTTATTCCAGCAATGTAGCCACTCCAGTCCAAGAAAAGACATGAGCTGTTGAGAATCAACAGCAGAGGGGTCTGCCTGTGTGTCCCAGGGTACATAGGCAGGAACATGCCCCTCTTTGCATCTCCTTCAGACATTTCCTAGGATTGCTCTAAGGCTATGAAACTGCTGGGAAACAGCAAACTGAGGATTTCCAATTTGTCTTCCTGGGGACTAGACAGGAACGAGGCTGAAGAAGGAGAAATGGGGCTGGATTGTGAAGGGCTTTGAGAATTAGGTGTATAAGTTTGAATTTAATTCTACACTGTGGTGCTCCATGGAACGGTCAGTCCAGGGCAGTGGGCTAGAGGTCTGTCCTAGAAAAAGTGAAAGCAGAAATTTGCAACCTCTAGATCCGAATCTTCTGCTGAGTTATAAACTCTTAATAATCAGTCCTATTGCTTAGCAAGCTTCAAATATGAATCTGTACCAGACTGAATGTTTGCATTTAAAAATGTGACTTTTGCCTGTAATTCCAGTGTTTTGGGAGCCCAAGGCAGGAGGATCACTTGAGGTGAGGAGTTCAGGACTAGCCTGAGCCAAATAGCAAGATTCTGTCTCTACAAAAAAAATTTTTTTTTTAATTAGCCA